TTTTATAAAGCTCGAGAATCATTTTATAAAACTCGAGAATCGTTTTATAAAACTCGAGAATCTTTTTATAAAACTCGAGAATCGTTTTATAAAACTCGAGAATCGTTTTATAAAACTCGAAGAATCGTTTTATAAAACTCGAAGAATCGTATTATAAAACTCGAGAATCGTTTTATAAAACTCGAGAATCGTTTTATAAAACTCGAAGAATCGTTTTATAAAACTCGAGAATCGTTTTATAAAACTCGAGAATCATTTTATAAAACTCGAGAATCGTTTTATAAAACACGAGAATCTTTTTATAAAACTCGAGAATCGTTTTATAAAACTCGAGAATCGTTTTATAAAACTCGAAGAATCGTTTTATAAAACTCGAAGAATCGTTTTATAAAACTCGAGAATCGTTTTATAAAACTCGAGAATCGTTTTATAAAACTCGAAGAATCGTTTTATAAAACTCGAAGAATTTTTTTATAAAACTCGAGAATCGTTTTATAAATCTCGAGAATCGTTTCATAAAACTCGAGAAATCGTTTTATATAACTCGAAGAATCATTTTATAAAACTCGAAGAACCGTTTTATAAAACTCGAGAATCGTTTTACGAAATCGCAGAAAACCGAAAAAGCCGTAAACGCGAACTAGTCACGACTAAGGACACTCCACTAGTTCGCCCATTGGCGAACTAGTCCCGTCCCAGCTAGATCGCCAATGGGCGTACTAAGAGGTGCTGACTTTGCCCCACTGGTTCTTTTCGCCTAGTTCGCCATATGGCGACCTAGCCAAGCTGAACTAGCTCGTCGTACGTCGAGCCGACCATCCCGAGCCTCGATATCCCACATCCTTGATTCAAAACTTACGTCTTTCGTCACGATCGCATTCTAAACTACGGCTAAAATATCTCCCGTTCCATCTCGGTCCGACTTACCGTTCGAGTTTTACGATAAAAACCGTAAAACTTCGCTTTCTCGGAAAGAACTCGAGGAAATCGTATAAAACAGCAACGGTTAAACGAAACACCGAACATTGCCTAAACTATACGATTTATTCGAGATTTCTCGTTAAAATCATAAAAACGCGTTTTTAATAAAAAACACCGAGTAAGTCGTAAAAACGTGTTTTTTATAAAAAAAAAACGCCGAGTAAGTCGTAAAAAATGTGCTTTTAACAAAAAGTCGAGTAAACCGTAAAACCTCGCGATTAACTCGAGTAATTTATTAAAAACGACGTCAGATCAGGAAACGATCCCGTAAAAAGTCGGAAAACGGTTTTTATCGCAAAACGGCCCGGAAGGACCTAAAACGCGATAAAAACCCATCTCGCGATTTCAATGGAATCTAACCCGCAGATTTGATAACGTTTTGACGGTTTATTCGCAGAAGGAAAATAAAGGCA